CCAAGAAATGTTGGAAAAAAGATGGTGGCAACCTTCTTGCCAACCATTTGACACGTGACCACGGTTGCTCTAAAAAAAAGATAAAGCATGGCTACTGCATGCTGCAGCAGTCCTCGAGAAAACCAGGAGAGGCGCCCAAGATCTGACGTGAGAGAAATCCAGCTGTGCCACGACAATTCATGAGCCCACTCTTCCAACATGAAACGCTAATCTGTCGAAGGCACTGCAGTGGAATCGATCACCGATCCACAACACAATCGAGACCTCACGTCATGCAACTTATTTATTTTCTTGATGCTAGTAGGCAAGCGATTAGGGAGATTCCTTTCAATAAGTACATTTGAAATTCGAATTTACGTTTTCGATGGGGAATATCAAATCCCCGCGGAACGCGATTTCAAGCCGCTGAAGATGCTGTCCCAGCTTACCAAGTGCACTTGGATACAGAGCATGATACCCAATGGCGCCAGTGCTTCCGGGGTTGTTTTAGAACAGTGGGTCATGCTGTGAAATGTTAGAAAGAATACCTCAAAAAGATGTAATAGTTTAAAGAAAAATATATTCAATCAGTGACGACTGCCTCGAGACTTTTGCAGTGACCCTACCATTTAAAAGAACGAAGGTAAATTCATCCGTGGCGATGATCGAGATAACTTTCTCGTATGTGCTGCGAGACATAACGGAAAGAATTCTGAGGTGCACTAGATAAAAGTGTGCAAAATGTTAAGCTAAAAGCAACATTCATAACGGTTTTTAATCTAGCTTATATGGTGTACAATTTGAAAACAATCGCTAACTCAAGGTTTTTTTTTTTTTTAAGCTCCTTTTTTCATTTTTTTTTTCAGCATTGTTGGATGCCAGTCGAAAACAAATCGTTTTAAGGTTCGCAAAGAATATTTTAAAAAGTGTTTAGAATTGCATTAGCGCCAACCTTTATACGTGCGCTTCTCGCGCATTTCGACAATGAATAGAGGCACCACAGCACTCCAAGACACGTTCTGCACATCCACAACTCGACTGGAAGACATCTTTCGTCAACCTCCCCTACGCGAGTGATATGGCCACAAAGAGCTAATAATTCACACAAGAAAACAAAACAAAAATATAAAAGCCTTTTCCTTCAGCATAGAAAAATCTTGTGTATAGACCAACACGGTGTTGACAAACGAATCCGCGTACTGCGCGGAAACGAGATTGGTGTGAAGGGATCCGACTGTGCATGCTTCGAGACGACAGCCGCGCAACCGCAGCGGTGTCACTTCACGGCCGCTTGTTGGTGTATATGAAACGGCCACACAGAACGAACGGCCACGGTGGTTTTTACACAACATCTGTCAAGAGCACACAAGTACCCATGACAGACCGAATCTCGTTGGACTAAAAGAGATTTTTCCAATTTTGCCTTCGACAGTTGAACGCCGAGCAGGCATTCACGCGGAGGCGGTCGTGAAACCTTCTCGCGGCCGCATCGTGAGTTACGCGCAAAAAGGCGGACGACATTGCCCCTTCCGCGTGCGGACCCTCTATGCTTCCTGCTGGGCGGACCCCTTCTCAATTCATGAAGAGGGCGCTTAGTTGGGAAGAGGCACGCCGACTGCCGCGCCGGGAAGTCAAGAGCGGACCGACAAGACACATCCATTGTAACATTACGCGTTGGGGGGGCACGCGAATGACGTCACTTTGACGTCACAGCGTCGGTCGGAGTTTCCGCATGAAAAAATAGAAGACCATTATTAAGACACCCGAGCCTCGACGTGCACGCGTCGCCTCGTCCAGACGCCGACTGCAGTCGATGCCTGCATAGAAGCGGATAGACACAGACGACTCCGTGGTTCCCAGCTGTCGTGTCACGCGAACCCTTCGGAACGAAATGAGTGAACACCTCATTGGAGACAGCCTCAAGACCGTTAGCGAGCGTTCACGTGGATCGCTGGCCTTTTCGTTGTGAGAAGGATCAAAAAGGTTAGCGGGGACCTTTATATCCGCGGATGGAAAGACCCGTCGTTTACATTTGTTTAAATAGCATGAAAGAGTTGTCGGGAAATGATAAATATATTTTTATTAAGAAACAATACGTTTATATCTTCAAAAATGCAGATTAATTTCCCAATCGTTTTTTTTTTCCTTCTGAACAGTGACGAATCAATCTTGAATGTTCGTGGAACACAGAACAGGAATCCGTTTTTGTTTTAGTCTCTCACTTTTTCAAAAACAAAATAATGAAGACCCATGTTTCCTTTCCTCCTCACTCAAGCCCCAAATTACCAATAACGCGGTTGTGACATTGAATTTCGCCAGAATCGGAAGTTTACACCGTGGCCCATAGCCCTTCCAACCTCCTTGCCAAACCGGGGGGGGGGGGGGGGGGGGGGGGGGGGGTAGGCGGGTAAAGTGAGAACCAATCGTGTACGCGCACAAGGCGCATCTCTCACTGGCTCTCAGGGGAATCGGGGCGTGGGGAGAAAAGCGGGGAGGTTTAAGGGGTGATAGAGGTAGAAATAGAGGAGAGGTGAGGTCAGGTGACGTAGGGTGGGCGAGAGTCCGGAGAAGCGTAGTAGCCAATTCTAGGTAGCCGGAAGGTGGGGAGGGAAATAAGGGGGGGGGGGGGGGGGTCCAGCATTGGCGGCTAGCACGAGGCGGTGACCTTTGGTTAGTGTTTTGAGCCCCAAACTCGCCCCCCCCCCCCCCCCGAAACACTTCCCCTTTTTTGACTACGCCATAATAGGGGGGGGGGGGGGGGGTAGGCGGGTAAAGTGAGAACCAATCGTGTACGCGCACAAGGCGCATCTCTCACTGGCTCTCAGGGGAATCGGGGCGTGGGGAGAAAAGCGGGGAGGTTTAAGGGGTGATAGAGGTAGAAATAGAGGAGAGGTGAGGTCAGGTGACGTAGGGTGGGCGAGAGTCCGGAGAAGCGTAGTAGCCAATTCTAGGTAGCCGGAAGGTGGGGAGGGAAATAAGGGGGGGGGGGGGGGGGGGGGGGGTCCAGCATTGGCGGCTAGCACGAGGCGGTGACCTTTGGTTAGTGTTTTGAGCCCCAAACTCGCCCCCCCCCCCCCCCCCCCGAAACACTTCCCCTTTTTTGACTACGCCATAATAACTGTGTACATCATCATTGCTAGCGTCGCATTCACGCGGAGTTCCGCCTTTCTGCGATGCGCAGTTTGTTAAATGCAATCCGAAAAACATGGTTTCGTTTTTTTATCTGGCCCCGAAGAATCTGTAACATCACTAAAGTTTTACTAGATCGTTTTACATCTCCCGCTACGCTATACGCAAGAGTGGCACTAGTACTGCGCATGCGCGTTTCTAGTGGAGGATTTTCAGAGCAGCGGAAGCTAATGGAGGCGCGCTATTTGACGTCCCTAGGCCGGCACTTCATCTGGGAGCCACCTGCGTGGTGGCAGCCGAACGCCGGCGGGTGCAGCTGGCTCCCGACTCCCGAAGCGGGAGCCAGCCGTTTTGTCAGTCGGGAGCCAGCCGCTTCGTCAGTCGGGAGCCAGCCGCTTCGTCAGTCGGGAGTGCTGCGTCAACGTTTGACTGGAACTTGATTTTAATAGGCGAGGCCTCGAGGTCCAGCCGAACGCTGGTGCGGTATACTTGTGTCCAATTAATCCTCGTGAGACACACTTCCCTCAAGCATAAAGTGTACGACAGAAACCGCCGGGAACCGGTCAATTTAAGACACCCTGTGTTAAAACTCCTCCCTTCACTCTCCTTGTCTATATGCTCAGTCTAAAGATCAACCCGGCGTATAGTATAGAAGGTCTACGAAACTAAATTGCGCAGCTAATTCAGCATAGAGCGGCACACCTCGACAGCGCGGCCCAGCGAATACCTCTCGCGAGCCGTGGCCCGTAGGTTACCCAAGGGTACGAGTGCTCGCGCTAGGAGCTAGCGTTGCGCTGCGAGCGCGTCTTTTACAAGATATGACCTAAAAAAAAAAAGCAGTGCTCTTCTGAGTAAATCGGAGCATTGTGCTTTCTCTCTACCTTCAACTTCATTTGTTAGTTACGTAATGGCATTGCAAACAAATCAGAAGGCGGAACAAAACGCAACTAGAGCTTTCTAGCTACACCTAACTAAAACTATCAAGGTGCTTTTGTTCTAGACACTGTCCTTGTTTACACCAAAAGAAAAAGTTGCTTATTAAACCGAAGCTTAATATCACTATAATCTTTATTTTGCAGTGTTATCCGTGATCGGGCGGATTGATCAATCATAATCTGCCATACATGTTTTACGCTTGTATTGATAGTCACTACTTCTCACTAAGGTAATTTAAATGAAATAAATCCGATTTTTTTTTTTTCAAATCGGATTTATTATCCGGTTTCAATCTTTGTTTTACAGAAATTACTATTTTTTATCCACCCTGCTTATTATTTTCGGTGGCCACGGTGCTACATGAAAGCGTTGAACAATGGGCTAAATCTAAGGCTTATTCATCGTTTTTCTTGACTGAAATTTAGTTAGAAATATGCCTATAGATATGTTCTTTTTTTTACTTTGTTGATATCTCTAATAAAAAATATAAACATCAATACTTTGCCAAGGTCACCTTGATGGATAGTGCGGAAAAATGTTATAAAAACGAATGAGGTTTTTTACAAAATCCCTTTTACAGGCGCACTTTTTAGACATTTTACTTTGTATCTGGCGAACAAAGATGATAAACATCGTGTTATTCTTCCAACGCTAGACTAACTAAGCAATGTTGGCTCTGCCCCTGAACAAACTGAACTATACCTTACGTGTTTGTTCGGCGTATTTTCGCAGCTCAGCATATCTCATAATATCAAACCAACTATCCCCAAATCCAAGCCCTGTTACAGTCTTCTCAATTAATGCACAAAGCTGAAACTTTTTTTTTCTTCTGCGACCTTTATCGTGACACGCAGTTTATTCATTCGAAGCTAGGGGTTCCAAAGTTGGTCCTCCTAGGTAGTGTCCTCCCTTAAGGTGACTTCGGCCCCCTGGCGGTGTGTGGCGCCTCCAAGCAGGAAGAAGCAGCAGCAGCTGATGCTGATCCGCGCCCAGATCTTGGACCGGCTGGGCATCCGGAACCCGGCGAGTCCCGCCAACGCGTCCACGTCCTTCAACAACAGCACACTGCGCCTGGTCGAGCAGATCGTGCGCATCCCGCCCGCCAAAACCCTGGCCACCGCGGCCGCCGGTGGGGAGCTCACCACGGCCCGGACCGTCTACTCGGAGCGCATCCAGAGCTTCTACCCGTCCTGTAAGCGAGGGCACCGGTGGCCGTGCCTCGGACTTGTACCCTACTCATGTCGAGCGGTCAAATTACTTGGAATCGATTACTTCTAGCAGTAGGATTGCAAACATTTGATTACTCCTGGGGCCCTAAGCTGGACGCTTGGCGAAAACGACAGCGAGAAATCTGGCGGCCGCGATTGGCCAACGCCACACTTGACCTTGGCACCGGCCAATCATAGCCGCCGAATTTCTCGCCGACTTTTCCGCCAACTGTCCAGATTAGGGCCCCTGGTAGGAGACAATCGCAATAGTAATCTGATTACGTTTTGAAGTACCGCATCATTACGAGCGGTCAAACTACTTCTAATCGATTACTTTTCGCAGCAGGTTTGTAATCATTTGATTACTCCTAGTAGGAGACAATCACAATGGTAATCGGATTACGTTTTGAAGTACTACAATTACTTTTTGTAACAGTTATTATGGTCCATCTCTTTCCTAATGGCGCCCTTTGTTTCTGCAAGTTTCCTGCCAAGAAAGCATTGAACCAAATCACCGACAAGAAAAATGTAAAAAAAAAAAAAAAGAATTGCTGGATTAAGAAGATAAGTAGCCTATAATTCGGTGATTTTATTCCAATATTGAACAGAAGTAAATATCCATTTTCAAACCGGCTGAAACGAATGTCGTTTGGAAAATCTGAAGTAATCGAAACTTCAAGTAAAGGCCAACTACTTTTTCTCTCGAGTAACGAAGTAATCTAATTTGTTACTTTTTAACCAAGAATAATTGTAATTGCATTTTGTTTTTATAACGTGTGCAAGAGAGGATTGTGATCTCGAGGTTGCCCAATGCACATCCTGCATCCTATTCATTCCTCGATTTAAAGTAGTCGGTGCCGGATTATGGAACCTGGTGTTTTGCTTCAACAAACAACCAATGCTCCGGAAGGACATTCATTGGCTGACGGACCGCAGAGGCTCGATTCCCAAGAGGTGAAGCGCGGTTACTCCGAAACGTGCTCGGTCCCTCTATAGGAGGGCCCATCTTGGAGAGTGTCAGTGTTCTGTTCCGGGTGAATACTGCAGCTGGCGGTCCCCGCAGGCTCGCTGCCCAACAACACGGACTTGTCGGCGTGGAACGTGCCGGGACACCTTAGGCTCCACTACGACGTGACGTTCCCGCGTCCGTCGGCGGGCACCGAGATCACGCTGGTGTCGGCCAAGCTGCGTCTGTACCGGCTGCCGGACCCCAGGGCCGCCCCGCCGCCGCTCCAGCCCGGCGCGCACAACTTCCTGGACCCGGCCGAGGCCCAGCGCCGTCGGCCCCCGGTCACGGTCTCCATATTTCAGTTCCTCAAGCCCATCAGGTCGAACCGCAAAGGTATATACGACACCCGCGATCTCAGAGGAGGGAGTTTTAAGCTCCATGTCGCACTGCTGGTGCAGCTTACAAGACACAGTCCGCAGACATGATGACAGAATTAACTGCGGAGATGCCTTACGCATGTTTCGGGCATGTTTGCATCATGTACGCATGCTTCAAAAAAGTACGCGTACAGCTTGTGTACGACCGGTGTCACAGGACGTCGTACAAGGGGAATTGAAGCACGCGAAATGAAGCGCGAAGGAGCGTTCTTGAATTCGGGCGTTAGACAGCGTCTGCTAACTTACTTTTGTATGAGCTATTCGCAGTGTGACCGCGACTTTTGGGGAACCGTTTTGACCTCCAATCGGTCCAGCAGCGTCTCGATGCCATCGCCAAACGACGTGCCGGAAATCTGTCCTAGCTTCGAGCACAACAATGCAATTCCACCCACATCAAAAGAAGGAAAAGTCTGGAAATATGAGCAGAATGAATCGCCTTTGCGCAGTTGAGGAATCGCACGTAAGGTGTTAAGAAAAATCTTGCTAAATAAAAACTAGAAAAACACCAAGAACTCAACCGGGACGCGGTTCGACCGATCGGAAATGCAATAACGGTTCTCTAAAACTCTCCATTAGGGAGTTTTCATAGATCGCTTTCGCCGTCTCGAAAAGCTCTCCGTAACACGCTACGCTACCCGGAACTCTACAGTCAAGGCCATCGGCGCGCAGGCGCATTAGCGGCTTCTTTGTTGCAGAGGAATTAGCGGACTGGGAAACGCGGTCTACGAAAACTCCCTATTGTCCTCTTTGAGACTGCGGTGATTGGACCCACGCATAAAAAGTAGTCCCAAAGTGGCGACCAATGACGTCACATTTGCCGGCGTGTGTCGGAGGCGGGTGCAGCGTCTGCCGAATCCGCCTCCACTGCTGTGCCACCACCAGGATGGCGAGAGGCAACAGCGTGACACTTCTACGACGTGATTAGGCGGAAATCATGGGACCCCATATGGGGACGCTGTAAACACACCCGAGGGAGACGCGCCCCTGTCACATGCGCATACTTATGGCGTAACCAGCAGCATCGGCAGACGCTTCGTTTTAATCCGAACCATCTTTGCCGTTCTTTGTATTCGTGTTCCGCGTATGCGGACCGCAAGTTCGTCTGCTTCTTTTGCAGGGGTTGTGGTGACGTCAGAACGCTGAGCTCTGTCCAACGTTATTAGATTAGCTCAGTTACGGTACTGCTCATAGACGCTGCATGCACGAACAGTGTTTCCCCCCCCCCCCCCCCCCCCCCCCCCTCACTCACCAAGACTCGCCTGGTGTGGCCTGGTGTCGCTCGACGCGCCGCCGGACGGGTGCTTTTGTAACTGCAGTGTATTCTATGGGAATCGGGATACGTACGTTTCGAAGCACGGCGTCTAGATGGCGCTTCAACTCTGCTCTTTGGAACGCACAGTTATGAGACAAAAATCTGGATGGCGCTTCGAAAGACGGCAGGCGGATTGAAGTGAGTGAGGGGGGTACCCCCTTACGCGGGAGTTCCACAACTGAGGTAATCTAGTAGCGTTGGCCTTGTCGGCGCTCTGACGTCACCACAACCTCTGCAAAAAAAAGCAGACAATCTTGGGCTCCGCATTCCTTTTTGCAATCTTGACATTGAGATTTTTTTCTCCCACCAATCTCCTGCGCGACGTCGCACGGGTGGGAGAGTTCGTCCTGTGCTGAAGTAGGAAGGATGCGCGCGTACCTGTGGCTTTTATACTCCTTTTCACATTAAAGAAACTTTTTCACATTAAAAAAGCAACTACAATTGGTTAAAAGTATTCATTTAAATCACTTACTACTTGAGAAAAAAAGTCGTTGATCGTTAATTGAAGAAAAAAAGCAGCTTACTTTTTTTATTACTTCAGATCATAAAATCGACAGATTATTCTGCCGATTTCAAAAACGCGTCTTTTGCCCGTTTTCAAATCGGCAGAAACCATAAGAATTAGAATTTTTACGTTTTATCGAATTACATAAGAATCGCCAACCTAGGACTTATTCGCCAATTTTGGTAGCAGATGTTCCCGTCGGGGCCTAAATTTGAGAGTTCCGTGGCAGGAACCTTGTGCAAAGGGTACCATTAGGAAGGGGGAGGTAAAAATAGTAACCGTTACAAGTACTTTTTATACTTAAAAAAAAAAACATCAATTACTCTCGAGATTTCTACCTAATAAATGTATTCAAATAATTACTCCAATAAGTAATCGATTATAAGTCATTTGATTACTTGGCACAATGAGCGCCATGCAAGTCTGTGTAAAACACTTTCTTTTTTTTTTACGGAAAACGGTGTGTTTTGCTTTTATGTGTGTTGCTGTTATTTTTTTGCGCAATATTTGCGTTGTCAGACAGAATTTAGGTGGACGTAGCGTCCCTCGCCCAGGAGCGTAGCTAACTATACGCTCCTTTTCTCAGCTCTTATTGGTTACAGAGATGATTGACGTGCGAGTGTTGGTTGTAATTTTTTTTTTTGTGCCGTGGTCATCTTTGATTTGTCATATTTTTTTATATATTTGAGAAACAAATTATATGAATAGAGTAATTATCGTTCTTGAAAATGTAGTGAAATCGTTCTTTTCTTTTTTTTTTTTTTGCTTTGGTTTTAACGACAACAAACATGGCTGCCGGCGGTCAGCAGTTTTACGCACCGCGAAGCTCGATGAGCTCGCCTGCTGTTGCTTTTTCAGTGCGAGCCGTTTCGCGTTCACCAAGATGTTAGAGAAAAATTTCCTGAATCGACGCAGTTTGCAGCAAGCAACTGTCGCAAGTACACGACTGCGGAAGCGCTGCGCGGGGTTTTCCTTAGCGGGACTGGCGTATTAGCCTAGCGTCCCACGTCAACTGTATTTCGCTTAATCTGGACCGAGTTTCTTGCCTGCGTGTTTTCGTCGCTGAATAAATGCGTCGGTTCCCGTAAAAGCAGCCCCGATACTCTGAGAATCCTGCAACCGTCGTGATTGCGACCATGGTTTCAGTACTGAAAGCTAACTTATACAGGTAAGAAATTGTGAACCATTTCGTCGAAGGCAATCGGGTGCTCTTTTTGACAAGGACTGTACCCTTATTACAACAACATAATTACGCACACGTCTCGAGGTAAGCGACATCCGCCTATAACGTGACAATTCGTCGCCGCTTGAAGGTTTCAACACTTCGTCTCAACTAAATACACACCAAGTCTCCTACGGGCAATGAGACATCGAATATCGGTTCAAAAATCTAGTCTGTCAGCGCGCATTCCCCTGATCACCTTTTTCTTCTATATTTTTTTTTTCGCTTTTACGCTTTCCGAATTAAGCAAGCGATGGCGCGGTCAAAGAAATACATTATACAAATTTTATATATAAAAAAAACATTATGAAAACACTTCGTAGAATTCAATAATACTGAAATATAAAGTAACCCCAAAGTAACGTTTGTTAATTTTTTGGAAGTGGCAGTAAGCTTGTAAAGTGAGATAAATTTCTATCAGTGGTCGTTGCACCACCCCCTTAAAATGTTGTCTTCTAGTATACGACCTAATTAATCAACAATGAGGATGACATCTACAACGTTGCAAAACGTCCGTCTCCGGACTCCACGCCCCTGCGCCGCCCCAAAAACAAGTATCCAAAAAAAAAAAAAAAAAAAACTTTCTGACCGCGTTTTTTTTTCTTTCTTATTTTATGTGACGTCAAAAAAATTAACCTACTGTGATTTTAATGAAAACAAACAATAGCAACGGTAGACACGTGTATTTGTTATTTACTATCTTATGCACTTTCAACTAATGTGCTCGTTTATTGGGCATGTAGCTTTATGGTTTTCTTTCCTTATGTCGACCTAAAATTATGAGTTACCGTCCACGATACCTGCTTTCGTTCAGCCATCATTTCGTCATCGCCGCAGACAACAATGCCGCCATATTTCGTGTGGCAGGAGTGGCTGTCGTATAGTCCGGGTCAGGGCTGACAGGGAGGCAGCAGAGAGAAGCGGTCCGTTCGTCCCTCACGCGCAGAAGACAGCATCAAAGTTGCTGTCATGACGTCACAGTAATCGTACTATTCTTGGTGCAAATTAAATTATTGTTTTACTGAAAAACTTACCTATAATAGCCTTCCCGCAGCGTCCTTTTCCTGATATTAAAACGGGGCAGTTTAAGGCCGAACGAAAAATTAGACCCTCTCGAGACAGCCATATATCTTGGTCACATACACTGAGCCAACGTTGCCCCGAGCGTCTACTGAACGGCTGTGTCGTGCTTTCGGCGTGACTTTGGCTCAGGGGAGGTATAGGTACGCAATGCAAAGTTTGAGAGGGCCTACATTGTAGAGAGGGTCCATCTGAAACCATGGGGAGCGTTTGCGAAAATTGGTCGCAAGTGCGCATGCGCTGAGTTTTCGAGTGGCGAGAAGGAAAGCAGGCGAAGAGGCTGAGACGCTCGCAAACGTCCAACGCTATCGTCACCTTCTTTTAGCTCGTATAGCAAACGCGGCCCGTAAACCCCGTGCGCTATATCCAGCCGTCGGAAACTCTCTGTAATGTAGGCTCTCTCAACATTTTTGGTACAGCTTAACTCGTCTGCTGGCTGCAGCGCCCTAGCGATCACCCGAAACTTCGCGGAATTTACGAGCACGACCCATTTAACGGGCGAAACGTGCGCCATTTATGCAGGTACAGAAACCTGCCAAAATATGAAGAATCTATGCGACCTTTCAACATATGCGCTGCGGGCAGCGCGTGTGTTGCGATCAACGTTACTAAAACACTCCGTTGGGAAACACGCCCTTGAAACCCGGACCGCTCGCGTTCACCGAGACCAAACTGCATGCGATAACAGCGCCGCCCTTGTATAGCTACTGCGAAATGAAACTGCGAGATGGCGCCACTGGCTTTGCGCGACCAGAGCCATATACGCGACTAGACCTGAACCAATACGTACAGCCGTACAGTACCCGGAGTGACCGCTGCGGGGAAAATGGCGGCGTTGCGATCGCCTTTAGTTCGGTTCTCGAGTAGGGTTCAGAGCCATTTCTTTCAAAGCAGGCTCTATGGCAGTTTTCTGACTTAGTTGTTCTAGTAAGTTGGTTGCGACAAAAAAACTCCGCCACAGCGAGGGGCGCTGCAGTCTGCAGACGAGTCGTTTTCATCGCAGCTCTGTGCAGCCCTTCGCTCCCTCCCGGCACACTTCCTTTTCGAGCCACCATCGTTCAGCCAAGTAAAAAAAAAAAAAAAAAAAAAGAAACACTGCAACTCGTAAAAATCAATTGTAGCCGTTAACAATGAAAACACAAGCACGTGCGAAATCTCATCACACAAGTTTCCAACAGGTGTCATTCAGTGCTAATCTCAAATATAACTAATTGTTCAAGTGCCTCAAAGTGAACAATGAAATACGTTAGTTCCCCTTAGGAATGGCTGGATCATTTTTCCGTGGCTATTTATTAATAAACGAGTTAATCGAGGCTTTAAATAATGGGTACAATCAATGTTAAAAAAAAAAACATGGTACAGCATGAAAATATACTTTCATCTAGCACTTCTACACCGATCAGAAAGCAATGAGAGCCCAAGTTGCTCCAACATAGCATTAACAGAGTCAGTTCGTTTGTATCTACTTTGTACGTAACAAGCTGAAAGTCTCTGTACCTTTTCTACCTTTTGAATGTGCTTTTTTTTATGTGGATACCATATTACATTTGAGTACCCTAGTGCCGGTCGTATGACAGTTTTATATACCAAGGGCTTAGCAGTCGGAGAAGCATGTTTAAATTTTCTTTTTAAATATCCCAGCGTACGTTTCGCAGAACAACAGATGTTGTCGAAGTGCTTACCCTATTTTAGAATATTTTCAATTGTTACACCTAGAGGTTTGTATGAGGTGACTTCTTTCAAGGGAAACCCATTCACTGTGTGTATATTAGGTAACTTATTTTTCTTATTTGAAAGCTGGAGTAGTACGGTCTTACCAGTATTAACAACCATTTCGCATTCTCGGCACCAAGACCCAATATTCTGTAGTGCAATTAGTAGCTTATCTTGGTCCTCCTTATTTTTAACGTGCGCATAAATAAGACAACCGTCCGCAAATAACCGCACTGCAGTCAATGCTGTGGGCAATGTCATATATATATATATATATATATATATATATATATAATACTGGCAAAATATTAGACGCAGTGTAGCTTATTTCAACAGATTGTGTTCTTTCCTCCAAATACACTGTTATCCAGTCAACTAATAGTGAACCGACTCCAATATTTTTCATTTTATGTATGAGACTGCTATGCGGAACTCGGTCGAAAAGATTTTGACATATCTAAAAAGATTGCGTCTGTCTGTCCCCCCTTATCGACAGATCTGCAAAAGTCATGAACGCATTCTCTTAGCTGAGTGACTGTGGAAAGTTTTCGTCGAAAACCATACTGGTTTTTGTAGAGAAAGTTACTTTTTTCTAAATAGTGGTATAATGATTTTGACGTCACATGCTCCATTATTTTACAAACAAGTGCTTGTCAGAATATGGGCCTGTAGTTTGTGGGGGACGATTTATTTCCAGCTTAAAAAAACAGGCAGGACCTTAGCGCAGCGCCAGTCGAAAGGAACCGCGCTTTGTGATAAAGAGGCTCGGAATAGTAGCGTTGCATATCTCGAGACCCACTTGGAGTATTGTTCTAGAAATGCGCTTATGCGTTTTGCGTTTTTAGAAATGCGCTTTAGAAATCCTAAAAAGCATTTTAGAAATGCTCTGCAGGGACCCTAATCCGGGCACTTGGGGAAAAATGGGGCGACTGTGATTGGCCGGCGCCAATGTCAAGTGCGGCGTCGGCCAATCACGGCCGCCGGACTTGTCGCCAACTTTTTCGCCAAGAGTCCAGACTGGGGCCACAGAACGAGTTTCGTGCCGGTTCTATTATCAGCGTTCGTGAGTATGACGTCGCTTATTCTGCTCGCTTTCCGAAGCGACGAAGGTGTGTGCTGAGCTGTGACGATCGCACACCGGGTCGTGATTTTTGTAAACATTAGAACGGCGTATATGCTACTACTACGTATCGTTACGCTACAATCCGGAAGAGCCAAATAGACAACGCCAACATTAAAGAAAAGGAAGTGTAGTTATTACACTTCTTGTCGCATATAAGACATCCCAGAACTTCAGTTCGACGTACAGCGCACTGGCGTCGAGCTGACGGCCCCAACTTTTACGAAAGGTTTGATGACGGCAGGATATAACATACTAAAGCGCGAAAGTACGTATCAAAAACTACAGGCAAAAAAAAAAAAAAAGAGGTTTTTCAGTAGGGCTAAAACACCCGATTACTTTTTTTGCAGTCAGTCACACGTATGTACCTTAGCTATTTTATTAAGTTGCATAACTCGGCTATCCAGCCGCTCGTGAAAGTTGGTACCGTCGGTCCAACGTCAGTGCCTGCTACGTCCAACTGAAGTTTTGGGGTGCATTAGATGGGACAGGGGGCGTAAGAATATACCTTATTTGTGTGTGTTGTATAAGATGCTGATAAGCTCGGTACAAAACGAGGCCGCGCTATCGGAACGTGCGGCGAGACTGGTACTAAAAACATGCGCTTAACGGTAAACATTTGCACGTGTGTCTCGTATACCGATGCACCGAACTGGACGCGCGAAAGCGCGCGCTTTATAGGCTAGCATTGTGTGTGTGTGTGTGTGTGAGTGTGTGTGCGGGTACGTGTGCGCGTGCGTGCGTGTGCGTGTTTGGACGGTGCAAAAAACGCGCGCGCGCGCTATCGAAAGGCGGAAAAGCGCGCGCATGTGCGTCTGTTCCTCCAACTGTTTGCTTTTTTGTCTGACCTCTCGCGAGCGAGCGCGTCGTTTAGTCTGGGCGCGGTGTAGACAGGGCCGTTTGGCTGGCCGAGGTTTACAAACAGTCTCTGCGGCCAACAGAGCACGGGCCACTTGCTTTCCTTTTTTCGCCGGGCATCGTAACCCTTCTGGCTCTTCGCCAGGACCTTGAACGGCACGTGCGAACCGCCCGCGTCACGGGAGCGACTCCTTTGCCCGTTTATTCGGATGGCGGAATCGGCGCCCCCGTTGAGTCGCCGCACCCGCGCACGAATTTCCCCACTTCGTCTAGCGGGAGTTTGACGTCACCCAATTGCGGTGGCGCTGCTGTCGGCACTGCGCATGCGCAGATGCTTCGCTTCAGGCGAATCTGGTTTCTGCGCACCCGCAGTGCCCACACCCGGTGCGGCCAAACGCGGGCTTGTTTGGTGTCTTGGTCGATAGGATCCACGAAACCAATTTGTACTTTCACTTATACACTCCGCACTAAGCCGGAAGGTAGCCTACTCTACGATCCAAATGAGCCAATCGGGCAGCACCACATCGTCACGTCGCATTTTCTGTGCGGGATAGCTTTAGCCGGTGACAGCAGGCGCACAAAGAGACGACGAGCGTCGCGACTACGCACTTTCTGCCGGAACAAAGCCAGGAAAGTTAGGATAATCGTTAAGGAAAGGGGAGGAAAGGCCTGCGTGTGTGTTTGTATGTGTGTGTGGTTGGGGGGGGGGGGGGATGCAGCATATATAGAATTCTGCTATCGTGCCATCGTGGGCAGGGAGGAAGTGGCCGAGTGGGCTAACGCGTCTCAGCTCGGAGCGTGGAGCGAAAGCTTGCGCTGGGAACCTCCCCGCCGCCCCCGCCCGTTTCGATCTGGATGAGTTTCGTACCGGCACGCGTTCGTGTGATCACTACTGCGTGATGCACGTTAAAAACCCCAGGTTAGCGGTTGTACCGCACTGGCTAAATTTCTCATCTACAGCTAAGAGACCGATTACCCGTTGAGGCGCATCTCCATCAAGGCTGTATAAACATAAAGAGCAAGCCAATTTTTTTTTTTTTTTTCCATCGTGGGCTCTTACATATTCCATGTAACTTGACTCAACTGCTCTCGCGACACGCGGGGTGGGAAGCAGCGGGGAAAGCGGTCGCACTGCCCGTTTTAACTTGTGTGTCCCCCGCGCAGAGAAGAAGCAGCTCATCGTGTCCCGGACGCTGTCGACCGAGCGGCGAGGCTGGGAAGAGTTCAACGTTGAGTCGGCCGTGAGCCAGTGGTACCGGTCGCGCGGCAAGAACCACGGCCTCGACATCGAGCTCCAGGACGCCTTGGGGAACAAGCTCGTGCCCGGACTCTACTTCCAGAACATGAGCTGCACAGAGACTGCCGGTGAGGACCGTTTTCCTGCGCGTCCGTGGGGACTGTAGTCTCTCAAACTCGTTGTGCGATCGTCTCAAAGGCCCGTCCAAGCGTGAACCTACTCAGTACCATAGGGAGTCAGGTGGTGACCTCCGTTCACTTCAACTCAATTAGTTTTATTCGACTGTCATTGCGAGGAGAAAAAAAGCTAACGCGTGTTTTATAATTTAGGCGAGGCATTGACTGCCCTATGAGCCCAAATCGAATGCTCACTGCATGTGTGCACTGTATGAGCAGCATTTAAATATCGCCACCTAGGAGATCGCCAAACTTGATGACGAAGTCCTGCGGATCGCACTGTGGACAACGCTAACAGAGCCACCCCACAAGTTCGTCATCAAGTTTCATCAAGTTTCATCAAGACTGAAAGGAAACGAGTCCGCTTTTATTCTTGGAATTACGCGGTGACAAATAAGCTCCTCGGTCAATGACGTTCCGTGCGAGTACATGCGTAAAATATTATACTCGGCGACAACTTTTCTTGGCAATGCAGAGGAAGTTGACGATAGCCCACGCACAGCCTTATCCAGCGCTCAAAATTGGATAGAAAACACGTGCCTGTACCCTCCACTGCATTGCCAAGAAAAGTTGTCACCGAGTATACAAAAGATACGCAGAGCGGAAGTGAGCCAGCTGTCAAGCTCAAACGTGTGTAGCAGCCTTCTACCTTACACAGCACTATATACGCTGTACGCACATTGGTGTCGCGAAGGTCGGTCTGCCACGTTTCGAGGAATGCTTCGTTGCAACACATAATATCTGCGGGAGAAGCACCGAACAGACCGATCTCACCAGCCATGTTTGACAACGCTACTGCTGCCGGAATGCATCGAGGGAACTTTCGCCTTTTTGCACGTGCGACAACCTCGCTAGACATCTGCGCGTGTATAGAGCACGAAAAGCCACGAGCCCTCGCGAGCACGGCCGTCTGCAGCTGTCAGCTCCTGTGAACTAAAGTTATGGCGGCATCACGCATGCGCCGAACGCTTAGTGAGATCGGCCTATTCACGTTCACACAGTTGCGTTCGAGCGCGACTGCATGCAACCGCTTGTGCCTCGTTGAGACTGCTTGCGTCGAGCTGTTGCCATGGCGGCATTTACGACAAGCCAACGGGGAAACTTTCTGCAACACGACGCAACGCGGTGCAACACGACGCAACGCAGTCGACGCACTTGTGTGAACAAGCCTTAAAGCCCCACCAAAGGCACCAAGAGCGCGTGCTGGATGCTCGAGTTGAAAGGAAAGCACTGCCAAAGCTATATTGTCGCTGACAGCTCATGAAGCGCACGGCGCGGCTTGTTACCTTCCCGCTCGGTGATTGGTTCTTCGGATTAATGCTGTACTCTGATTGGCTGCGTCATTGGATGCTTGGGGCTTGCCCTGCATTTCTTAAGCTATGAGCGACGCTGCTCCAGTCCATAGCGCAGTGGCGTACGTCAAAGTCGCATTCTCGCTCTCATCCTGCTTGGCATGCGGTGTGCTTTCTTTTAAATAAGAGTAATTACCCAATCCACTCTGCTATTACGTTTCCACCGAATCCCTTGTCAGCCACCCATGCGGTAAGGAAAGAACACTCGCGCATGCCCACAACCCTTCTCGTAAAAACTTGGAGAACGCTTAAGCTTTGCCTTTAAGACTGGAACGCGAAAGCGTTATCGGGCCCCTTTTGCATCGCCTTTTCATTCGCTTCCCGTGCTCTTCCATGCCAGTGAGCAGGAAGGACGGCGGGCAAGGCCTAGCCTGTAAATTGCTGCTGGAAATGAGAGCCTTTTAACGATGAAAATAAACCCTGGAGAAGGGGAACATTCTTGTCCAGCTCGCTTGCACCTTTGCATTTAATTGCATTCTAATTATAGCCTTTTAACGTTCCCTGCAAAAGTACTGCAGCGCGTATCTTTTAAACTGAATTGACGCGTGTTGTCTGCGTTACAATAAAAAGTAAAAGAGAACGCGGACATGGCCTAGTCAGTTGCGCGTCTGGCTCGCAACCGAAAAATGGTGGGTTCGAATAAAGAATATTTTTTTTCAAATTATTCTTCGAGGCAAATGAATTACTTTATGAAGGGAAATCATTTGAGATATGCGGCAACCTTTAATTCGGATTACGCGTCATGTTTTTTCGTCACTTTCATTCCACACGTGACATCACGTTTCACGTGAGCGTTGTAGGTTGTTTGAAATTCCCGCGCGAGCTTAAGATTTTCCCGTCACGACGCCACCGACCAGTGTCCATAATAAGTGGCGCACGTTCTTTCCGCTAGCCATCAGCCGCCGGTGTGCGCGAGCGCAAGCAACAAAATTGACGTCTCACTAAAAAAAAAAAAAAAAAGTATATTTTTATATTTTTTGTTCCGTATAATACGCCCCAAAACTTCAGTTGGACGAACAGCGCACTGACATCGATCTGACGTTACTTACTTTCGCGAGAGGCTTGATAGCCGAGTTTGAAGCGCACTGTACGTCGAATTGAAGTTTTGGGGGTGCATTATATGGGACAAAAAGGTGTAAGGTAATACCTTTTTTTTTTTTTTTATAGTGCATTATAGTCCCCCATTCACGTTTAGGATGACAGTGAAATGTATGGGTTCCAGCAACAGCAGAATAACGACTGGCTTTTCATCTCCACAAGTGAAAGCTACGTGCTTGCTAGAACAACTAATCGCCTACCTTTCATACCAGACGCCACTGTGGAGATGAAAAGCGTGTCTTTATTTTCATTTTCCCCAAAGACCAGACATTTCACTGCCATCTTAAGCGTGGATGAGGGGCTATGCCCCACCCCCGCCCGTTTCGACCTGGGTGAGCATCGTACCGGCGTGCGCTCGTGCATCACTACTGCGTGATGCACGTTTAAAACCCCAGACTAGCAGTCGCACTGCACTGACTAAATTGCTCATCTACAGTGAGTAAAAATGTCGCCATGTTTTGGCAGACTAAAACTCCTGCTGTACATACAACTAACAACTACTTTTTTTTTTTTTTTTTTTTTTTTTTGGGGGGGGGGGGGGGGGGGGGAAGGGGGTCTATGATGTCAATTTTGTTGACGCCATAGCTGGCTCGTGAAAAGATCGTGCGCCACTTACTATAAGCATTGAAATGTGTGGTTCAGCATTCCTCCAACGCTAGAACACTTCCATGTGCTCTCGAACAGCGACTTTTGCAGATCGCCCGTTGGCGTGAGTGCGGTCAATTTACGGACCTTTTTCGTGTGCCTCCGCGTCGTGAACACGCATGAGAGCTAACACCTACATATATATGGCAGCCATTTTGAATCTGTGTGAGTATCGCAGTTCATTTTTTTTTTCGCACACGAAAATATTTACGCATCTTGCAAACGGTCAGGTGCGTAATCGTGACAAAACTTCAGACTTATAACCACGTGTGTTAACTGCAATAACCGTATTGCGGATTTGTAAAACGAAACCATCTCGTAGTGTAGTACAAAGCAACTTGGATTGGTCAAAGCAGATTATCAATACTTAAGAGAGGCATAGAAAACGTTTAATGTTTGGATATCGAGATACTTTTTAGCATTTTTAGTTCTAAGCGTGTTTTAAACAAACTTTTTTTCTAACAATGTATGTTCTCTTAATGAGAACATACATTGTCCCATGGTCCCATGGAGAGAAGCCGGCGCTAGTCTGTCCAGCGAAAACGGCACCTAAATTCCCATTGGCTGCGACGCGTCATATCACGCTTTGTCACGGGAGCCGGCGGGACCGCTCAAGGTCAAAGCGGACGCGCCTCTGAAATAAAACACAAAGAAAAGCAGAGCAACGCAGATGCATCGTCACGGAAGCCGTGGATCCGGCGGGTGCGCCGCGCTTGCGCAGTGGAGGAGAGTGGTGTCACCGCCAGAGCGCCGTGGCCCGTGTGCGAATGAAGACGTGGCACGCTGCTTGTAGAAATGTACTGCGTGTAGGATTGCTTTCGCATTTCTTCACATAAGTAGTCGCAAGCGTCTATCCGACTTTTTTTTTTTAGTTTTAATGCAATAATGTTAAAATGCGGTCTCGATACGCGCACTACCACGTGAGTCAAAGGAATCGTTAGCTGTTTGAAGAGACCGGATAAACCAGTTTCCCAACATATCGCTCTAGGATTTACCGCAGATGTGCCTGAAGGTGGTGGACTCTGTGTATCAAAATCTCACTGAACAAAAGCACCTAAGTAGTAAGTTAGAAATCAATAAAAAAACCTTGAAATCCCTACCTACGGCGTCCGTCTGCTACCGATACTGCTCCGTGAGCAGTGCTCCGCGAGTCGCCCTTGAACCTGTGAAGAGCCGCAGTTTTGCCACCCCCTGCTCTAGATAATTAACTTTACGGTCACTGCAAACTGGACGCAGCGGGCCAGCAAGAGCCACCGTTCCCAAACATCATGCGCCTGCACCCGGGACTCCGCGACAACGAGTCGTCGCTGCTGGACAACGAGACGTACCCGACACTGGACCTCCAGGTGGTCGAGGTACTTCGCCAGGAGGGCCCATCGCCGCAGGCTGCCACCGAGCCGGCCACGCTGGCCAGCGGCACTGCGGGCGGGACCCGACCAGGGGGTCTCCAGGGCGCAGCAACGGCGGCGCCGGAGGACGCAGGACGCGCGCGTCGCGGCCGGTGTGAACAGCCCTCCCAGGGACCGGCGACGCGTCTGCCAGCGGGGCTCCTTCTATGTTACGTTTGCGGGTGAGGACCAGCACCGAAACCGCGGTTCGTTGTAACTTGTGAAAGAGTTTTAAAGCCGGCGACGGTACAATCCACGCCCTTCGAGAGTCGTGATTCCAGAAGTCTCGAAATTAGAAATTTAGAGGGACAGTGCAAACGATTTTAACGTTAAGAGAGTTCGCAGCTGTTTTTTCTATTTTTATACTGTTCATTTTGGCACAGGTGAGAGAAAACGCGTCACCTTCCCCCGAATAACTGCAATTCCGGCGCGTAATAAAAAAGAAGTAAAAGAATTGCTACGTTGTCGCAAGAAAAAAGAAAGAACGACGAGGCCAGGAAGGCGGTCGTCGTTCTTTCGCGTTCAGTGCCAGGAAGGCGGATATTGAAGCGGCGTTCAGTTCCAGGAAGGCGGATATTGAACGTCGCGCGCGTTTCTCATAAA